CCCCCCCCCGCCCTCCTCACCCCGCCCGGGGCCGAGCGCATCTCCGACGTCTCCTGGTAGACTTTGGGGGCGCCGTCACCCGTGTTGGAGTAGGAGATGACGGTGGACGAAGAAAAGGTCTGGCAGTTGCCCCCCGCCGTCATGTGCTCCTGGGGGAGATGGGGGGAGTGGGGGCGGGTCCCCCTCAGGAGCCTCCCCCCCACTGCGCAGGGGTGCGCCCTGCTCTGACTGTGTCGGTCCCGGGGTTTTGGCGCTCTGCCGCCTGAGCCACAGCTCCACTGCGGGCTTTCGGGTGGTCTCTTGGAGTCACGTGGACTTTTCCTGCCCGGGCTGGCTTCGAACTGTGATCCCGAGATCTCAGCCTCCCGAGTAGCTGGGATGACAGGCGGGAGCCGCTGCCTGGGGGACCCCGTGCTCTGTGCACCCCTTTATTTGGGACCCGCCTCCAGCTCCTACCGGAGGAGACCAGGCCTGGGAGCCTCACCATGCTGCCGATCATGTCATTCATCATCCCAAACATGTCCATGAAGCCGCCGGACTGTGGAGAGACCCAGACAGCCGTCAGCACCCGGCAGCACCTGCCGCCGCCATGGTCTCCTCCCTCCATATCCACCTCCTCTTCAGATTCGGCTACTCCTTGACCCAATTTTCCTCCCCGCTCCCCCCCCCAGACCTGGGGCTTGAATTCAGGACCTGGGCGCTGTCCCTGAGCTTCTTTGGCTCAAGGCTGGCGCTCTACCACATGAGCCACAGCACCACTTCTGGCTTTTTTCTGCTCATGTGGTGCTGAGGAATCGAACCCAGGGCCTCATGCATGCAAGGCGAGCGCTCCACCACTGAGCCACCTGCCCAGCCCTTTCCTTCCTCTTTCTATATGTACTTCATTCTTTCCTGGCGGTCCTGGGGATTGAACTTAGGGAGGGGGTGTCTGCCCTTTACTTTTTCACTCAAGACGGATGACACTCTGCTACTTGAGCCACACAAGCTCCACTTCTGGCTTTTTCTTTTTTTTTTTTTGCTGGTTAACCTGAGGGTCTCACAGACTTTGCTGCCTGATCTGGTTCTGCACGCCACCATCCTTAGACCTCAGCCTCCTAAGTAGCTGGGATTACAGGCGTGCACTACCTCCCTGTCCAGGCTTGGCTTTCTATCTTTAGGGGAGCCAGCCATTGTGAAACGATCCCAAAGAGGGCATGAAAGAATGTTAGCATCTACTAACCTCTACTTCCCGGGCTCTGCGGAGCATGCAGGCCCTTCGCTACATAGTTACCCAGTGAAGCTGGGCACAGTCTGTGTCTTGAGCAATCTACTTAGTAGCTCCCAGCAAGCCTCCCTGACCTGACCCAGCTTTGTGCATTATCCAAAGAGAAGGTTCTGGCAGCATTTACCAGTAACACACAAGGCCACAGACTCAAGAGATGGGGGGAGACAAGCACTCACCATCCCCAGCATCCCGAAGGGAGACACCACCCCAGCCTGCAGGAAAGTGGAGGAAGAGAAATTGGAGCCCATGTTGTCTCTCCTTACCATCTCCAGCCGGGCCCAGGAACTCCGTTTTATTTTTCTTCTCCATCCTCTCAAAAGGGGGTCAACCTGGTCCTTTTCCCAGCCCCCCCTCCCCCACTAGTCCCTGAAGACCTTTTCTCTTGCGGATCTGGTTGGAGGGTTAAGAAGAGCAACGTGCGTTCCCAAGCGCCCCGGGCTTCCCTCACCTGCATCCGGCGGCTAGCAGGCCTGGTGGCGGGCATGTTACCGTCGGTGATGCTGAGGAAGGGGCTGTAGCCAAAGCCCCCGGACAGCATGCGGCTCATGTGCTGGCGGTGAACTGCAAAAGGGTCCCTGGGAGTAGACAGGGCAAGAGGCCAGGCCCGAGGGCCGACCCGACCCCCAACGTAAGTCAGGGGGTACTACACAGAACATCCTCCCCCTCCCCTTCTTTGGCCAGTAATGAGGCTTGAACTCAAGGCCTGGGCTCCGTCCCTTCGCCTTATTTACTTATTTAACTCAAGGCAGGTGCTCTGCCCACTTTTTGACTTTCTAGGGGTTCAATGGAAATAATCTCCGGGACTTTGCTGCCTGGGCTGGCTTTGAACTGGGATCCTCAGATCTCAGCCTCCTGAGTGGCCTCGTACCCAGCCAGCGGTGACCGGCTTCAATGGCCTGCGTGTCAAGTGCTCCCAGGCCTGGGTGCACTGGGGGTGCAGGCTGGGGGGGCGGGGGGGGGGCCTTACATCAGGAACATGGGATCCTCGGGTTCCACGTCCCTCATGAAACGGAACATCCTGCTCTCAGCTCCTGGGGGCTCGTGGCTGGAAGGAGGGCAAGGCGGGGTTAGTTGGAGGGGTGCAGGGAGTTTGGGGAGACGGAACTCGGGGAGGCTCTGGCTGGCCTTTTCAAGCCCAAGGCTGGGTGCTCCACCACTTGAGCCACAGCTCCACTTCGGGCTTTTTTTCCCCTCTTCTTTCTCATGGGAGGTGAGAGTCCCACACGCTTTTCTAAAGCCTGGGCCGGCTCTGAACCCCGATCCTGCGGCCTCTGCCGGCTGGGGGCTGGGTGACAGGGGTGCACCCCACTCAGGGGGCGCGACTCTCGGGGTGGGGTCCCTGCCACTTCCAGACGCGGTGGCTGACACCCCAACTCCAGGGGGACCCTACTCGGAGCGCCCCACAGCCATCGCTGGGAGAAAAGGGGAACCCGGCAAGTGCGTCTTCCCGGTGAGACCCACGCAGGGTCCCCCAAACCCCGCCGGTGCCCCCGCGAGCCCGAGCGCATTTCGGAGGGACCCCCCAGCCCGGCCCCGACCTCCCCCGGCCTCCCCCGGCCCCGAGGCCCGG